AGAGTTTTTTCCCGAATGCCATCACTCTGCTAAACAAATAATTCCCTCAACGCTATCCAACTCTTTACAAAGTCTGCACTACTATTACTATTAATTTTCTCATCACTCCTTATCACCCATCCCCTCCCACTTGTGACTGTATGACTGTAACTTTGTTGCTTGTATCCTTACGATTTATATTGACTGTTTCCTAGTATGATTTGATTGCTTATTGTACCCTATGACTATCATTAAGTGTTGTACCTTATGATTCTTGACTCTTGATAATGTATCTTTTCTTTTATGTACACTGAGAGCATTTGCACCAATCCCACTTGGCCAATAAAGAATTCTGTTCTGTTCTGTTCTGTTCTGTTCTATTCTATTCTATTCTATTCTATTCTATTATTCTATTCTATTCTAGACTGTTCAAAGTTACAACAGCAAGGAAAACAGTGGCCCCTTTTCACACTTAGGACCGTTGCCGCATCCTTGTAGTCATGGGATCAAAATTCAGACACTTGGCAACTGGTTCAAATTGGTAACGCAGTGTCCTAGGGTCATGTGATCCCCTTGTTGGAAGAAATATCCTTCTGGGTTCGGGTCCAAGTGGGGGAAAAGACACTGGAAACATGGAGGCTGTTTGGAAAGATGGTTTAATGGTGGACAGGACCTCACGGCTTGGAGCTCCAAAGTGAAAAAAACGATCACATGCTTCAAGGTGTTGGTTGAAGGGAAAGAAGGGCCAAGATGCTGAGAGACCCTTAGTTATATACCCTCTGTTGGGCCTCCCCTTAGTGTTTCCTGTTTTGTATAAGAAATGTATCCCATTGGCTGTTAGATTCCCGGGGCGGGTCTTAGCTAACTTTGTAGGCTTTGTCTGGACCACATGGCTTCACCTGAGTGCTGGCTGATGCAATCTTCCCAGGCCAGGTGGTAAGATGGGTAGAGGGCTTTGTTATGTAGAATACTCTGGCCCAGGCCTTAACAAAGGTGGGAGTGAGCTTCTGTTTCTGAGGTGAGTTTCTGTTTCTGAGTTTCTACTTCTCTCTTTAGGGAAAATATTCTGCCTTTTTAGTATATCCTAAAATATTTCATTTTCCTAGGAGAGGGGCGGGTGCTAACTTCCTACACCCTTTTGCGAACTTCTGACTAGCAAAGTCAATGGGGAAGCCAGATTCATCGACGAAACATTTTTACTAAATTAAATTGCAATGATTCGCTTAACAACAGTGGCTAGAAAAGTCATAAAATGGGGCAACATTCACTTAACAAAATGTTTCAGAAACATACATTTTTGGTCGTAAGTCGAGGACTACCTGTGTAATGTGTTAAAAACCTCACTGGGTTTGTTTACCTCCATCCCTTCCTGCAGCTATTCTAATCTGACCTTAATATAACACGAGAAATCCAGGAAGACTTACCAGAAAAGGTGGTTTTTCTGTTTCTTTCTTGATGAGGTTTGTCAGGTGGCTGCATCTGCTTTGATTCTCCTGCATCTATTTCCAGGTTGGAGAAAAGTACCTGGACTTGCTATAAAAATAAACACGAAAGCAAAATACACATAGCTATAATTATATCAAGTCCCCAGTTCAAATCAGCTGTCTGCAAGGAATATAAATCCTTCCATTCCCCACCATCCTGTCAGAACTGAAGAAGCTTCTTGGATGAGAAGTGAAACGTCTTCAAAAGAAAAAACAAGAAAGTCCAGTTGCTTCCTTTAAAAAAAAAAAAAAACCGAGGTAGAACCTAAGGCCAGGTGTGGCCATCAAGCCCCATTTCTGCTCTTGCAACCTGGCAAATGAGCGCCCCTGGAAGATATTTTAAGCGGAGAAAGCAAAAACAAGAGAGGTGGAAAACTGTACGTATGGAGAGCAAGTCTGAGGTTCATGAAGAGAGAGGGACCTGCTGATACAAGGCAAACCAGGGATCCAGCCACTCCTGCGAACTTCAAGGGCGAGGCCGATGGCAAGGTTTCCCTTCCATTTTGCAGCACACACACCCAAATCCAACCTGCCTTCCCACTCCAATCCCCTTCCCCGATTTCAATCTCACGTCCGTCGAGCTCTAGCCCAGAGGTCTCCAAACTTGGCAACTTCGCTTGTATATTTACGATTTATATTGTCTGTTTCCTAGTATGATTTGCTTATTGTACTCTATGACGATCATTAAGTGTCATCATAACTTATGATTCTCGACTCTTGATGAATGTATCTTTTCTTTTATGTATACTGAGAGTATTTACACCAAGACAAATTCCTTGTGTGTCCAATCACACTTGACCAATAAAGTATTCTATCATTCTATCTATCATTCTATCTATCGGTCTTCCTTTTTCTTTCATCTATCTGTCTGTGTGTCTTCCTTTTCTTTCTCTTTCTATTATCTGTCTGTCTGTCTGTCTGTCTGTCTGTCTGTCTGTCTGTCTGTCTATCTATCTATCTATCTATCTATCTATCTATCTATCTATCTATCTATCTATCTATCTATCTATCTATCTATCTATCTTAAGACTTGTAGACTTCAACTCCCAGAATTCTGGGAGTTGAAGTCCACAAATCTTAAAGTTGCCAAGTATGGGGACCCCTGCTCTAGCCGCTCTATCAACTCACAAACCTCTTGTTCTGTAGACTTAAAATAACTTTATTGTCACGCTGAACATGTCCTAATCGGCATACATTATAATGAAGTTTTGTTGCATACAGCTCTCAAAGGATCTCCCCTTCTAATATACACTACATAAACATGACAGGATGGGTGGATGGATGGATGTACCCACATATATTATATGAATGAATGGATGGTTGGATGGATGATGCATGTACCCACATATATTATATTGTGGAAAGGGAACTTCACGAGGACAGTGGTGACACCCAAGCAGGAAAAGCCCGAGGGGAACATCAGGCCAGCCATAGAACAAACTTGCATAGGAAAAGAAATTTAATAAAAAGTATTGAAAGGAGCCCCCTAGACAAAAGCCAAGTAATTAAGAAAGCTAGGGAAACAAGAAAAAGAAAACCCTTACAGGCCCAATCAACAAAACAAACAAACAAAAGACACAGAAAAAATTACATAGGAAACAGACAGGAGATTGCCAGGAAACAAATAGAAAAACCCATTATAAAGGTAAAAGAGATTAAGAAAGAACCGATAAGGCAATCAAGCTGCCCCGCAGAGTTATTTTCCACACCTCGCTTAAGTATGCCTTCCGGCGAAAATTAAACTCTGACAGGATTTTAATATCTAAACATTAAACACTAAACGAACATTCACACACAAAGGGAGAAAAAAGGTATAAAGAACAGGAATTCACAATTCAAAGTTAGCTAGCTAGCCCCAGGAACGCAGACTTCTTGCTGTCTCTTGCCTTCCTGAAAAAATAAAATAAAAAGACTTGGCTTTCAAGCAGTTGTCTGAATCCTTACACTGGAGTGTATACATGTATCCAGCGAGAGAAACGAACCTTGCGAGCGTTGCGTGGTAAGAGATGCTATAAATGGCAAAGGTGCTACCAGGCGCCTTTCCCTGCATCTTCACCTGGATTCACCGGTGGGGGGGGGGGGAAATTCCCGTCTTTGACCATCCGAGGGGCTTCCCTCGACTTCTCTGCACGGCGCAGGGACCAAGGGAAGTGCATGCGCTCTGAGTTAGAGGGGTGACCCCGAGATCATCGCTCCTTCCCTGCCTTTTGCATCCGACGCCGTCCCAGCCTCCGCGGCTGCGAAGCTTCCCCCCTCGCCCCCCCCCGCCCCCCCCTCTTTGTCGGAAGAAGAGCAGCAGACACAGAACCTCCCGGCAGGCCGGAAGAGGAAAATTTCCCCTTTCGTTCAGGGCCACTCTAGGCGGCGCGTATCTATCGTTCGGGCTCCTTTCCCCTTTCGTTCTCTGGCTACCACAGGGCCACTCTAGACGGCGCGCATCTATCGTTCGGACTCATTCATTGTAGCGTGTGGCGCCCGGGAACCAGGAGCGCGAAGAAAAAGTTGTGGCGGAAACGATTCGCAGTTTTCTTCTCAACAGATTAACGGACTAACGGAGTTGGAAGGGGCCTTGGAGGTCTTCTAGTCCAACCCCTACAACTTCTGGAGGCATCTCGGGCGCAGAAGCCCCCGAAGCATTTCTCCCCGCCCCCTGGAAAGCGGAGAAGGGCGTGCGTAGAGGCTGGTGGGAGCCCCCCTCGCATCGCCTTGGGGCAGGAGACCCAGTGGAAGCCAGGATGGAGAACACCCTCGTCCCAGAGGCTCCACCCGATCTCTGCAGCCACGTGGCCGAGGGGCCCCGGGAGATTTGCAGCCGCCTGCACCGCCTGTGCCATCAGTGGCTGCGGCCGGAAAAAAGCAGCAAAGACGAGATGCTGGACCTGGTGGTGCTGGACTATCTGCTGGCCCTGCTGCCCCCGGAGATGGCGAACTGGGTGAGGGAGTGCGGAGCCGAGAGCTGTTCCCAGGCGGTGGCCCTGGCCGAAGGCTTCCTGCTCAGCCAAGCCCAGAGAGAAGAGCCCGGAAAGGAGCAGGTGAGGAAAGGGGGTGTGTGTCTCACCCTGGGAGCTGAGGATGGAGAGGGGAGGGGAGGATCAAAGATCCATCCGTGTATCAATAAAGGAGAATATCGGTAGCTCCTGGGTGACGTGGGGATGGTTGTGTAATCCTTGGTGCCTCTGAGTGTGTGGTTCCCAGTTCGGGTCTGAGCCTGGTGGCGAGGCCAATGAAGGACGCCAGACACGAGGTGCAGATTTTGATTTCCTTTTTATTGGGGTGCTCCAAGGAAAAGGGGTCCTGGCCAAAATGCCAAGAGCAAAGGATTAAGAAAGCTTTATGCATTTTCCCTAAAGCAGAAGGTGGGATAATAAGAAATATAATCTGATAAACATTTTAGTAATGATCTAACATAGAGATCCCCAACTGGTGGTCCGCGGACCACTGGTGGCCCGTGAGAAAATGTTTGCATTTTTGCATTTCTTATATTGCACTAAAAAATCAGGTATCTTCAAACTACAGCCTCTGGGCCGGATATGGCCCATGGAAAGCAATTAATCTGGCCGAGTGTGAACACGAGGCCGTGCCGCCCATATCATCCCTGCCCACCTGCTGGACCCCCACACTTGGGCCGAGCGCAAACCTTGAGTAGAGTGATGCGAGCCACACGAACTGGAAAGTGGGGGAGGGAAATCCGCCCTGGACTCAGTACGCTCAGCCCAACGGTTACCTGAGGAGTGGGGGGGAGGCTCAGCTGCCTTTCGAGCCTGCTTCTTGGCTTCTACGAGGCCTCCTCGCCTTGAGGAGCTCACCAAAGCAGTGTAGGAAAGTTCTCCCTAGCTTTGCCGTGCATTGCAGCTAAATCGGTCCCATATTCCAGAGCTGCAATAGTCCCAGGATTTGATCATCCCGAAGCAGCTGCCAGTAGTTGGGCCAGTCCTGTGACTACTACAGCTCTGGAACATGGGAGCCACTTTCCCACCACCGTCAGTCTGCCCCTCTTCATTTTCCTTCACTCCGATGGACCAAGCTTGAGAGAAGGAACACAAAAGAGTTTCCTGGAAGGCTTTGTGCCTGAACCAAGGGCTTTCTCTTGGGCCTCCTGCTTGGAGGCCGAGAGAAAGTGTCTGGTCCGGACACAGCGCCCCAGGGTCAAGCTAGGACCGATGTCCCGCTGCATCGATCCAGCAGGAAAACAAGAAAGGGGAGGCGGAGAGAAATAGTCCAGCTGCCAAGGTACACCAGAGTGGGAGGCCAGCGGACCCGAGACTTTCTTCCCCGTCTTCTGAGGAACATGGGACTTCTCACGACCGGGTCTTGAGATCCCTTGCAGTTTGTTCTGCTACTGGAGGATGGGCTGCAGCAGTCCCACCTTGCCCCATGCCAGCTCCCTTGAGTTGCCCATGCCAGGATTGTTGCAGAGAATCTCCCCCTTTGGGGTCTTTTTGGGTGGGTTGGAGGCCGGGGGGCAGAAATTCCAACTTGGGGTCTGCTTCAGCCTCCTGGTGCGGGGCTTTGAGCGAAGGCCGGAGGGAAGTGCCGTTGGTGGCGAAGAGCCGGAGGGCCTCGTTCCAGTGGGACTGCATCATGGCCTGGAACTGGCTGACCATCTCAGCCCGCTGAGCCTCCAGGCACCGGTACCTGGCCTTGCACTCCCGCAGGTCTTCCCTCTGCTTGGAAAGCCTATGCTCGTAGTCCTCAGTGAGGGGCTTCTGCTGAGCCTCCTTCTCGGTAAGATCCAATTTAAACTGAGCCGGCTGTTTTGCCAACTCTTTTTCTTCGTGGTGGCTGTTTAGTTCCAACAACTGCTTCCTGTTGGGGCCCCAAGGAGCCCAGGCGGGCAGGCGAGGAGAGACCAGCCAGGCACCCCTCGATGTGAGTGACATCGAGTTGGCCATTTTTACCTAGCCAGTCATTAGGCAGATCAAACTATAGTCCAGCCCCCAACAGTCTGGGGACTGTGGATTGGCCCCCTGTTTAAAAAGTTTAACGACCCCTGCACTAAATTCACAAACTGCACTAGTGAGGGGGAAACAAGAGGTGCAGTGTGACATCAGGGTAGTCTTAAGATGAGGCAGCCATTGCTGAGCTGCACGCTTCAATATTGTTTTGACCATTACAACAGTCACCCTGCTCTGAGGATACCAATTCTCATCCGATTGTTTTATTTCTCAGATGCCCTTTTTAGGTAAGTTTGACCTTAACTGTATTTCCTTTGACTGCAATACTTAATGGCATCAAATAATTTGATTTTGACAACTGTCATTTCTTGTTTGATTTTAGATTCAAATGGTTCCCATGATGAGTGAAAAGCAAAGGAATATTTTGCATTTCTTTGGTAATACAAAAGATAACATTACTAACGACAATAGTAACAACAATATGTATACTTCATTTAACCATGAGCTGATCAATGAATTGGAGCCTCCACAGTCCTCGACAGTCACCATTAGGAAGAACATTCAAACTGGAGTCGGAAAGAAGAAGAAACTCAAAATATCAAGAAAATATCATTTGGACTATTTGAAATTTGGATTTATTCAAGAACCTGGTAGTGAGCTGGATCCACGGCCACTTTGTATTGTGTGTTCTAAGATTTTATCCAATGAAGGCATGAAACCTTCGAAACTCAAAAGACACTTGCAATCAATACACCCGGATTTAGCTTACAAATCACTTGAATATTTTCAAATAATGCATGAAAATATGCAAAAGCAAGTAACGGCTTCAACAAAAATGGCTGTTGAAGATAAGTCCTTATTAAAGGCTTCTTATCTGACAGCACTTCAGATCGCAAAAAATAAAAAGCCGTATACGATTGGAGAAGAATTAATTAAGCCTTGCATGTTACAAGCCTGTGAAGAGGTTTTGGGAAAGCAGGCTGTTCAGGAACTGAATGCAATTCCTATGTCCGCTAACACCATCAGGCGCAGAATTGAAGACATGGCTGAAGATATTGAAAATCAAGTTATAAACATGGTGAAAAATTCCCCGTTTTATGCAATTCAACTTGATGAATCAACAGACGTAAGTAATAAGGCACTTCTCCTTTGTTTTGTGAGGATTGAGTGTGAAGGAGAGTTACAGGAAGAGCTACTTTGCTCGCTCAACTTGCCGGGTAGAACAACTAGCTCTGAGATTTTTGAAGCACTGAGCAGTTATTTCCTGGAACATGGAATTGAATGGAAAAAATGTATTGGGATATGTACAGACGGTGCCGCAAACATGACTGGACATCTTTCAGGAATTGTTGCAAAGGTGAAAAATGTTGGTCACCCAGACATTTTGTCTACACACTGCATTATACATCGTGAGCAACTTGTGACAAAAGAAATGTGCCCAGGACTACACGAAGTATTATCAGATATTATTAAAATTGTACATGAAATTCGACACAAAGCGCTCAATTCTCGAATGTTTGAGGCACTTTGTGAAGAAATGGGATCTGAGTATACTCACCTCCTTCTTCACACTGAGGTGAGATGGCTGTCCAGGGGCAAAATACTAACCCGACTGTTTGCTCTTCGTGAAGAAGTCAAATTGTTTTTCTATCAACAAAATAATCCAAAATTTCAGGAACTCTTGTCTGACGATGAGTGGGTAGCCAAGCTTGCATACCTGGCAGATATTTTTGCGCTGTTAAATGAACTAAACATATCTTTGCAAGGACAACTTGAGGTATTCGCACTACGAGGTAAAATGGATGCTTTTCAAAGGAAAATATTACTGTGGCAAACGCGGTTGGCTGAAGACGATCTTCAGATGTTTTCAAATTTTGCTGAATATATGAGAGAGAAGGATGTTAACCGGCAGGTAATAACCATTGTTCAACAACACCTACAATCACTCACAGAATCTTTTGGTCGTTACTACCCAAAGAACGAAGATCCTAGACATGGCAATATGTGGATAATAGATCCATTTGCAGCAAACATTGAAGATAGCAATTTAAGTCTGCATGAAAAAGAAAACCTCATTGATCTATCATGCGACGGCCATCTCAAAATTAAATTCCACTCATCCATCTCAAGTCCTCATTTCTGGCTCTCTGTAAAAAGTGAATACCCATTGCTGAGTGAAAAAGCAATGAAAATTTTGATCCAATTTTCAACAACATATTTGTGCGAAAAGACATTTTCATCAGTCACAGCAATTAAAACTCGGTACCGGTCTCGGCTTGAAATAAAAACGACTCTTCGTCTTGCAGTAACGTCATTGGAGCCAAAAATCCATAAACTTATTTCAAACAAGCAGAAACAAATATCACACTAAAAATGTGTAATACTTAAATAAGCTTCAATTGTTTTGTTATAATTACACTAACTTTAATAATTTTGTTACAATTAAACAACCTGTAAAGATTTTATTATGACTAAATAAGCGTTTATAATTTTGTTATATTAAATAGGTGCATTTCATATTAATAAAATGAAAGTTCTCTGATCATTATTTTACAAATGTAATTATCCTTTTTAAAAAAATTCATATTGGTGGTTTGTAGGATATAAAATTATGAATTTTAGTGGTCCCTCAAGTCCAAAAGGTTGGAACCTCTGATCTAACAATTGGGTCTATTGGTCTCTAGCCGGCCCCGTTCCTAATCCTTGGCTAATGAATGCTCCAGGAGTTATCTAATATACATTTTATTTGTTCCAGGCCATCCCTATTCCTAACTTTTAGCTGAGCTATGCAGGATGTCTAACTCTTTGTTACTGTTATCAATCCTTTAACCACCTAGAATTGCTACAAGTGTTACTTGTGCATTGTCAGGACTCCCATTTAAATCATGAGTTTCCAGCATTTTAACAAAAAGAGATGACCTAGGGTAGAAAGGGACAAAACTCTACGTCCCAGAATTCCTACATACTGTAGTCCTTCAGAGAAGCCGCGATGCCAAACCGGCGGGCCACTTCGGGTTCTTAAAGAAGATTTATTAGGTGTAGACATGCCGGTGCTGCCTGGGTGTAGCCGACTGAGACACATTATTCATTGTCACCCTTGACCCTGGTTTTCCCCCACCCCCTGGCTGTATCGTAATTCATATTCTCCAATGGGACACATCCATAGCCAAGAGTCATCAATCATGTTCTCCAGTTAGAATTTTGCGGCAGAAACTTCGGTTGCCTAGAAACTCCATGAAAACATTTATGGAATGCAGTTTCGTTTTTGCAAGCTGCTGCACTGCTCCCACTCCCTTTCTGCTGGCAACTCTAAAATACCAGAAACATATTTTATGAGTTGACATATGCATATATTTTGTGAACAAGCATTCTTTGTTCTTGCCAGAGAGACTCCACAATTACAGGGTTTCCGGCCTTCTTTTGAGTGTATGCCTTAACCTTGCTTTTGAGTGTATGCCTTAACATGAGGTAAAAAACATTGTGAGCTTGCTTGTTTTCTTGCAGAGGTTTCATTACCAAATTAGGTTACACCAGGATGTAAGGAGTGCGGTGTCAGCTGTGCCTCCATTCAATATCCAAGAAAGAAAACCTTAGATTCCATTTAATATAGGGAAAAGTACTTTTACTGGATATGAAGTGATAGCAACAAAAAAGAAAGCAAGAACTGAGGCAAAAGGCGTGGAAATTACATATTGAAAGTTATCCCAAGTCCCCACCCCCAACAGTTCAAACTGGATATCCAATCTGAGGTGTGTATAATGTCATGGGGGTTACATCTTCAGATGGCGTCTCACACATCTGGTATGCCAAGACGGTTGGCTTTGGCCTAGAAAAGATAAGTGGCTGCATTTGTGCAGAAAGCAGGAAAGCGTCCCATCTTTTACAGTTCACACAACTTCAACTTCCATCCCCCAAGGAGCCCAATTATCCCTCCCCCCGTTTCCATGGCAGCCGGCAAGAGTCAAGCAATTAAAGATGTCAGGAAGAATTCTTGGAGGCTAAAAGAGAAGATAGCAGGAAAATAAACATTCCAGATACAGTTATATATATACAAAAGTACATTAAGGCTGGTCAGGATATTTAGAATGAAAAGCTTGTTCAAGTTTAGGGGCCCTGACAGCACGGTCATTTACCCCTTCCGACTGAGAAGGAGGAAAATTGTTTCCAAACAACTAAATATTGAAGTCTTCCTCTCTATTTCCTGGAATCCAGAATTTCCTTAATTTTAAAATATTGTTCAATCAGAAGAGGAACTGGTGGGGCGGCCTGGTCAGGTCGCAAATGGGAAAGTATGTTCAGGTTTCAGCAAACTAACATGAAAAACAGGGTGGATCCTTCTAAGGGCTTTTGGCAGTTATAGCTGCACCGCAACAGCACTCACAACCCGGACAATTGGGAAAGGCCCAACATACTTAGGTCCCAACTTTTTTGATTTCTGGGTGGTCTGTAAATATTTAGTGGACAAGAAGATCTTATCCCCCACTTGGTCGGATTTTTGTAGAACTCTCTTCTTGTTTTGAAGAAGAGCATTACCCGGTGCTTTATGGGTAACCAGGTAAGCTAGAGCTGGGTTAACCACTCTGCTAACAACGGGATTTGGGGTCTCTCCTGTGGTAGCTCTGAGATGGGTACAAAATCCTGACCAGTAGCTACTTTGAACGGGGTGAAACCAGTGCTACTGTGGATGGGGTTATTGTAAGCTACCTCTGCAAAAGGCAATAGATAAGACCAGTCGTCTTGTTAATAATTTACATAACATCTAAGATATTGTTCCAATACCGAGTTAGTTCTCTCACAAGCCCCATTGGTTTGTGGGTGGAGCTTAAGCCCTGGATGGAGCCCAATGACTTCAAGAACTCCCTCCAGAAGTTCGAAGTGAATTGAGCCTCCCTATCTGAAATTATACACTCAGGAACACCATGTAGTCCAGTGATCCCCAACCTTTTTGACGCCGCGGCCTGGTACCGGCATCAGCTGGGCGCCGCGGCCCGGTACCGGCATCAACTGGGCGCCGCCATCTTTTTTTGACGAAAAAGTGCAATTCTACTCTTATTAAACACAAGAGGACACATACCGGAGAAAAGACTATCAGCCTTTTGATTGCAAGAAAAGCTTGATAATTCCTCTGGGGAATTTCCAAGTGTTCACCACGATCGTTTGTTTCCAGATTGCTGAGTTACTTTCGCTAAAGAGACAACTTTATTAAACAGGAGACTCAACCAGAAGAAATGCTCCGTGCCAAGAGGATTTGCTTGCAAAAATCAATGAATCAGTAAGTGAGAATTAGGATTTCAACATGTGCTGTCTGAAAGTAAAGTAAGAATTTAAAAATAACTATGCAGAATAAAAATATTTCTAAGGCATCAAAACTATTCTTATTTGATATATTACAGAAAGATAGGAGTCCTGGTGATGCAATGGTTAGAATGTAGTATTGCAGGCTAACTCTGCCCACAGTCTGGAATTTGATCCTGACAGGCTCAAGGTTGACTCAGCCATCCATCCTTCCATGGTTGGTAAAATGACCCAGGCTGTTGGGAGCAATATGCTGACATTATAATCTACCCAGAGTGTGCTGTAAATCAGTGATCCCCAACCTTTTTTACGCCGTGGCCCGGTATCCCCAACCTTTTTTATGGCGCGGCCCGGTACCGGCATTAGCTGGGCGCCGCCATCTTTTTTTGATGAAAAAGTGCTTCCGGTGACCTCACCGGAAGCACTTTTTCATCAAAAAAAGATGGCGGCGCCAGCGCTTCCGGTGAGCTTTCTACCCGGAAAAGCTCACCGGAAGCACTTTTTTACCAAAAAAAGATGGCGGCGCCCAGCAACCAGCGGCCCGGTAAGACTTGTTCCGCGGACCGGTACCGGTCCGCGGACCGGCGGTTGGGGACCCCTGATGTAGTCTATACACATATAAAATAAACAGTTTAGCAGAAGGGTAAATTTTGTGCACAGGGCACAAAATGTACCTGTCAGGAACACCATGTAGTCTATACACATATAAAATAAAAAGTTTTAGCAGAAGGGTAAATTTTGTGCACAGGGCACAAAATGTACCTGTTTGGAAAATAGGTAAGTAACCTCCCAAATGACTGCATTTCCCCCACTCTCAGGTAATTCCACAATGAAATCCATGGCAATTTCCCTCCATGGGGCACTCAGCCTTGCTACATTTTGTAGCAGACCAGCAGGTTTCCCAGGAGGTCATTTGGCTGAAGCATAAACAGGACAAGTAGTGACATAATGCTTCTGTCTTTTTTCAAAGATGGCCACCAAAACTGCTGTTTGACTAAGTGTAAGGTTTTTACGAATCCAAAATGCCCTGCAACCTTCGAATCGTGGGCATGTTTCAGGATGGCCCCTCTAAAGCTTTTCATCCACATGTCTCAGAATAATCAGTGTTTATGTTGTGATCTATTGTTATCTAAACCTAGATAAGGGGAAACATTTGGATTATGTGAGTTGCCTCTGGTACAGAGCCACATTTATTAAGCCCTATAATACCACAATAGTAAGAGAAATAAACTAATTAACAAACCCTTACATTTTATATACATAAAAACACAGCTTGCTGTTCTAACTCCCCTCTATTCATCACTTACTCAGAAATACAAGTCACGTGCAGAGCAGAATCCCCAAATTCTCTCTGAATTGGGTTGGGGAAGCAAAAGGTAAGGAATGCAAACTAACATTGATACCATCCTCTGAAAGTGGCTTATGAACCTGGCTGTTCTTCAGGTGCAGGAGCCATTCACAGAGGAGATTTCAGCAGAGCTCCAGGGCAGAAGAGATGGAGACAGGACCTGTTCAGGACCTGTTTTTCAGGAGGATCCAATTTGGGCCACTTTGCCAGGCAAATTCATAACTTTCTTCTGAGAGTTCCAGTCCAAGCATCCATGAGCTGCTTTTAACACTAAACGCTGAATCTATGTGCATTTGAACACAATGGCCCCAGTGGTGGGATTCAATTTTTTTTTTTTTACTACTGGTTCTGTGGGCGTGGCAGAAGGATACTGTAAAATCTCCAGTCAGAGGTGGTATTTGCAAAACTACTCAAATTTTCCGCTACCTGTTCTCCAGAACTGGTCAGAACCTGCTGAATACCACCTCTGGGAAGGATACTGCAAAGTAACCATTCCCTACCCACCCCACTAACCTGCTTTCCAGCTCTGTTCTCCTGTGCAGGGCAACAAAAGAAGACCCAGCCAATCAGCTGGGACTCAATGGGAGGCAGAGAATAGATGGGGGCGGGGCCAGTCAGAGGTGGTATTTGCCGGTTCTCCGAACTACTCAAAATTTCCACTACCTGTTCTCCAGAACTGGTCAGAGACCTGGATGTCTCCCACCAGAAGGTCCTGCTGAGTCACACATTTGCTTTCAAGATTGTTTTGGAGATGCAAACAATAGACAATTCACAGGCAGGGAAACTTGTATTAGAAATGTAATTTATTTGTAGAAAGAATTTAATAT